AACAAATTATAAATTAAAATAACAAATATAAGCGGATTTTAATTTAAGCTTAATTTTCATATCAATTAATCTTTTAATTAATTTAAAATTAACATTGTATTGGAACATATTATTATTAACTATTATTTACTAATTTTTAAAATTAAATATCAACTTTCAGTACTTCTTTTTATGCAAATAAAAAAATTATTTAAAGATTTAAATACAAAAAATAATTATAATTAATATTGAAATTATAATAATTAAATTATAAACTACTACGAACTAAAAATGAAAGAGTCAAATATTTAATAATAATTAATTAAATAAATTGTTTTCTTTTTTAAATTAAATTATATTAATTTATTAAAAATTTTCAACATTAGTTATTGTTTTCTAATGCATCCATTTATAATATCGCTTTTTGATTTTATTTTAATTAATATGAAAAAAGTTAATTAAAAAAATTAATAATTAAATATTTTTAATTAATTTACTAAAATTTGTTAAAAATATTTTTTTTTTATATATATAATATTAATTAATTAAATAAATTATATATTTTTTTTATTTAAAAAGTATTTAATTAAATTAAAAATATCGGAATTTCATTTTTACTTTTTAATAAACAAAACAATAATATTCATTTTTATTATGAATAAAATTTATATAAAAAATTTTTTTAAATACATAAACTATTTGTTTTTTGACTAGCAACCATAGCGAAAACTGGCACATAAAATAATGTATAGAATCCTGTGTTTAGCCTTCAAAAAAGCAATCAAACGTAAAACCTTTGAGAAGGAGCATAAACAGCGCAGTTATCGCTCTCCAGTTGTTCTTGCTTTATTTTAATTTTTTTTTTTTTTGCTATTGCATCTTTTTTATTTTACAAATTTTTACAAACTCTTAACTGCTTTATGGTTCTGTTAGTATGTACATACATACGTAGTACAATGAGAAACCAGTTTTTCCAGATTCAATTTTGTTGTATGCAGCAGTTGCAGAGCTTCCTCTTTCACAATCAGTTCTACTACGATACTTACATATGTATGTGGTGTTACTGTGATTTTGTTTTTGTTGGAGTTAAAATAGTAGGTTTTGTATTGTTTTGAAGTTGTTTTAGTACGATTTTTATGCTTTTCTTACATTTTTATTTTATTTTTTCAATTTATTTATTTTATATTTTTTTTTTTAAGTTTTGCTCTTGCTTTTTTTAGTTGCAACTCAGTAAACGAGTTATGTTTCTTTTAAAGTTCTTTGCCTTTTTAGCGTATTAAACATTAGTATGTGTTCATATTGGCAGTGACAGTAGCAACAAAAAGCGCAGAGATCGCGTGCTTAGTTAGCATGTAGTGCTATTTTAAAGATCACGGTGAGATGGTTATATGATACTTTGAAGCGTAATTTTTATATATATTTTTTTCATTAATTTGCAGGAGTTTTAGATGCAAGTTTTCGATTTATTATAATTAAAATTTTATTAAATACCGAAAATATATATTCATTTTATTTTTTTTAGGAGAAAAATTAGTTTTAAAAATTGCTGGAAGTTATACCACAGATACTCGTAGTAACGAAAGAATATTAATATAGTTTTCAATTTATTTATAAAATGAAAACATAAAATGCCTATAATTATTTTTAAATTATATTTTTTGCAGCATGAAACCTAAAGTCTTTACCAAAAAGGTGGGCGTGGGTCAACTAATTCATTTTTTTATTGTTGTCTTGCGGTGCAATAAGTAGAGCAGTAAACCACCAACGACATTTTTATGCTTCAATTTATAGTGATATAAGTATTTATACATACCTTAAGCTACATTAATTTACATATATTCAAGTTATGCATAACGAATATGCGCCTGCGCAACTATTGCATTTGCCCGATCGCCTGAAGTTTATGAATTTTTTTCCATACACAATTATGGCACGCGCCAAACTGGATTTATTTCAGTATTATTGTTTATTATTATTATTTTTTTTAATATTTGTTTTCTCTTTTTTTATTGTTTTGTTTTTTTCTTCGTCTTTCATATTATTTACATGCAAAGCACGGGTGTGGTAATAAATGTCTAAATAAGTAGTATCTTGTTACCGCCGTTTGTTGCAGCAGCCGTAGTGGCAGACATTTGGTGCAGGCTGGTGTGGCCGAAATAATGGTCAAAACGTCGGTCACTCGGTCAGGCAATGAACAATTTTGGGTGTGTTACATTTATTAATGCTTGTAAGTTGAGCTTAGAGGACTTTTGTTATAGACTAAAAATGCTTTTTAAATAATGAAATTAAATAAATTAATGTTAGAAGAAAATTATTGAATAGTTATTTTCTTTATATTTTTTTTTAATAATTATTTTAACTTATATAATTTTATTCAAATTAATTTAGTTTTTTAAATTTTGTTTTATTTTATTTGAAAATGTTTTATTTTAATTTATTTTATATTATTTTCTTTTATTTTATTATAATTTATTTTATTTTCCTTTTTTTTCATTTGATTTGATTTGATTTGATTTGATTTGATTTCTTTTTATTTCGTTTTATTTCCTTTGATTTGATTTCATTTTATTTTATTTAATTTAATTTCATTCAAATTTATTTGATTTAACTGAATTTAATTTAATTTTACTTTACTCAAATCAACTTAATTTTTTGCTATTTTTGATTATGTTGTTATTTGATTTAATTTAATTTTATTTGATTTTATTTAAATAACCTTATTAAATTTTTTTATTTTCTATAGGGTTTGATGTAATATTTAATTTATTTTGTTCTAATTTTATTTTATTTTATTTTGCTTTATTTAATTCCCTTCTTGAAATCATTTATTTACATACAATTTTTTACAAAATTTAAATATCAATCTTTAGCTATTGACTAATAAAAAAGCTCCGAAAGTAGTGTCCACCACTAAATTACTAATAATAAAATCAATAATAAAACTACTAACTCAAGTGCCTTTACTCTTGTTATTTACTTACAAATTTTACAACTCTTCACTTCAACACAACATTTCATTCGTTATTTTTCTACCTTTCATTTGTCGACTACTTGGCTGCAACTGCTGTTAATAACAGTAGCAATAAAATAATAAAAACGACAATGACTCATTGATTTATTTACTATGGCTTACCAATCGCTTACTATTGTTTAATATTTTTTTGTTTAATTATCTGCTTTTATGACACGCTGGATTTATGTATGCATGTGTAGGTATGTATGTATTACTCATACGATGTGGAATATTTTATTGTATTAATATTTGTTAAATTCGATAGTGAAAAATACTAAATTCATCGTGTAAATTGTAAATGCAAAAGGGTTTGAAGGACTGTTAGATCTGGTAAGTAAATATGGAAAATTTTATGAAATGTTGGAATTTTTTTAATCTAGCTAATGATATTTTTCCATTTTCTTTTTTGAATTATATTATTAATTTTAAACTTTTCCTAATAAAGTTTTACTGCAGAAAATATTGAAAGGTGTCAATACGAGTACAGTCTACAATGATGCTGCTATTCTAAGGCACATCTCAAGATTCGTCGTCTCACTTTTCTGATACATAAAACGCCCAAAACTATACAATAATGTGCACGATTTTCGCGTATTAAAAAGCTGTTGCGACCAAAAGTATGCAACAGTTTTAATGATATAAAAAAATTGCTACCTACCTATTGGCTGGTAATAATATGAATTTCTTTGTTATAAGTACATATTAACTGTTTTTTTTTTTCTACTTTTAAACGTTAAAAAAAAATCACAAGATTTTGTTCGAAAAAATAATGAAGCCACATTTCTAGCGATTTTTGAATTGCTTGGGATATTTTCTTATATTAAGAATATAAAAAGTAATTATTGATTTTTAAGAACTTATATAATGATCCTATACCAACGACCGTCTCAAAATTTACCATCACTATATGGTGTAAATTTAAGCACCCGAAATCTTTCTTTGATATACCCAATATAACAGATGGAATGTGCTACTGCGACTGGAAGTATGCAACAATTTTTAAAAATGTTAGAAATAAAACGTAGTCTATCTTTAGGTCGGCAAAGATATTGAGATTTTAATTTTTACAAAAATTTGCACAAAATTTTTATAAAGTATGCTACAGCTTTTTTACATCATGAAAGGTTGTATTCAAAGCATACAGCATTTTGTAGTCATATATAATAATACAGCTCAGGTGTTGCAAAGTAGGCTACTTATCACGATATTTTTAATTGGCCTGAAATTATGCCATGTAATTCAGAAAAAAATTCGTATGAGATTCATATTTTTTTCACAATTATAAAAAAAATTGATTTTATTATGTCAAAATAATAAAGAAAAAATAAATAAAGGCAGAATAAAAAAAAATTGAGCCTTGTGGAGAAAATAATTGCTTAATAATATTAAAACTACAATTTAAATTAATTTTTTCGCCGTTGCAAAAACTCACTTTCCTCGAAACAGAAAACTCTTAAATAACGTGGAAATTTTGATGAGTCCTTCATAAATATTGATTACACTTGAGCCAGTCTCTACTTCTCATTTCATATATGTCTTACGAATAAAATTTTCAAAGAATTTCCCCACGAAAACTGAATTCAATATAACTTTGAAAGGGTGGACAGAGACGTTTCAAAAATGAGAAATACAATATGCAATGAAGAAAAAATTAAAATGATTTAAGCGGGAATCGATAAAATTGACGACGTGCCCTGTAGGAAATTCGCAGTGCATGAAAATTTTTTGGAAAATGTATTTATAGCCGCTTTAATCACTTAAAAATAATTATTCGTACATACTTCAAAATCGTATTTTTTTTTATACAAATCTATGTTTTTAATATATTTATTTTTATTTTTTGATTTTCTCAATACGAATTTTCGTTGTAATATTTTCTTTTCCCAAAAGTTTAATTTTTAATCTTTTTTTTTAATATTCTTGTCTATTTCTCCCATATATATATACAAAATTTATTTTTCATTATTTTATTTAAATAATATATGAGTATATTCCAATGTTCACTTACTATTCATGGATTGATACAGCAACGCCTCACACAGGGCTACCATATAGGGATTTGGCACTAACGGACTCTGCATTGGCGTTTGCGTTGCCGATGTTGTGGTATTTGGCGATTGTGACGTCGATGAGGCAGCGCTGCCGCTGCCCGTACTGCTGTGACCGCCACTTGATGATGATGCCGTGTCATCGCCACCGCCTTCGGGCATATAAAAGACAACAGCCATGATTTTTGTTTTTGTAATTTAATTTCGTTGACTTTATTTTTGTGTGTTTTTGTTTGTTGTGCGCTCTTGGCGGCTGACTTTGTATTTTTTTGCTTTTGTGCGTTTGTTGTTCTTGAAGTTTTTTTTTCACTCACACACCTGCTGCAGCTGCGTTGCGGCGCAGCAGTGGGTGGTAATGTAGGGAGAGATCGTACAGGTATATTCTTGCACGCACGTAATTGTGCTTGCACAGAAGTTTGTTTTTTTTTTTTTTTGATTTTTTTAAACTCTTAGTTTTATTTTGTAGTTTGTAGTTTGTGTTGATGTTAATGATTTGTATTTTTTAACTTTATTTGTCACTTTTTGTACAATTTTTTTTTATAATTTGTTTCTGCAATTTCAGTAAATTTTCACGACTTTCACATTTTCTTATGGCAAAGTATTTGTAATTATTATGCGCAGTGGTGAAATTCCTTTTTGCTTCTCAAATTGAGTGAACTCAAAAAGTTTCTGGAGTTTCTGTGGAGTCGAGAAATTATTTTTTAGGACAGTTTGGAAATGTTATTATTAAATTAAAAAATAATAATTTTTCCAATTATTCGAAAATATAAAAGAGAATGAGAAGAATATTAAGAAGATTGAAGATAAAAAAGCAAGTCGCTTAGTTTATTTCTGTATTTTCAAACATTTTAAGGTAAATTATACATGACGATATTTAATCCTTAAAGATGAAATTATTAAAAAAAAACCGAGTAATATTGATAATAAAATTTTTTTTACATTTTTTTCAAAAGTGTCACTTTGAACGGTTATTATTTAAGGTCAATTTTGAGTTTATTTAACAACTGATGATTCCTTTAAAATATATTTCTTTTCTTTATATATTTGAGAAACCAATTTTTTAACCATTCAACGGCCAATAATAGTCACTGGCAATTTAAAAAAGTTATTAAGTTTTTTATTATTATATTTTGGTATTTTTTAACCTTTCTGAATCTAATACTATACTTATTAAGAAAAGGAATTTATTTTAGTTTATTTATTCAATTAATTTAAATCGAATTTTTTAGAACAAAAGTAAAACTATTTTGCGGCAAAATTTTCTTTAAATTATACTAAAATGTTTTTATATTAAAATATTAAGGTTTAAATCATTCGAAAACCGAGATATTTTTTTTAATCTTTTGCCACACTTTTTAACATTTTTCTTTAACGTTATATAATTTGAAAATAAATATCTTTAATTTTTCGAAATTAAATTGAAAAGGTAAAAATTAAACAAAAAAAGAAAAATAATAACAAAAAACCAATGAGTTAAGTGACAGTAAGTTCTTGATCTTAATTTTTTTCCAGATTCTTTTCACTTTTGATAACTATTTCACGTATTTTTGCAACTGTACATATGTATATTTATAAATTAATTAAAGTTCATAATTATTATTTTATTAAAAAGGATTTATTTAATAATTAAATATACACTAATTGCAATATTTATAAATTTTCTTTTTAAGGGGAAAAAATTTAAGTTAAATTATTTTGGGCAAAAAAAAGCTCTTTTGTCTTAATATTTCTTAATAATTAAATCCATTTATTAAGAAATATTTTTGATAATAAAAAGTTTTTTTTTTTTCAATAAAGTGAGTATTTTTTTAGTTCTTTACTAAGTTGAATTAAAAACTGGTTAGTTTTTTTTTTGTAAACTAAATCTAATAGTTTCTAAAATTTTGTTCTTTCAAATGTGATTTTCCGACTATTTTTATTTTACAATTTATACGGTATTATGTTTTTGTACAATAATTTTTTTTTTTAAGTTAACTTATTGATTTTAATATCATTCTTTTTTTCTAATTTTGTTGACTATTTCAAGTAACGGGTTTTTTCAAATTAAATGAAATTTTTTTTTATTTTTTTTTACATTCCCATTGTTTTTAATTTTATTGATTTTTTTGAATTATTATTAATCAGGTTTTTTCTCGTTCGAACTTATTTTTTTTTGGTTAGGAACTTACAATTTTTCACAGCACTGTAGTATGAACAATTTTTTGATTAACGAAAATGCTTTTTTTTTGCATTCGCCACACTTAAAAAAGTCATCTATGTTCCAAGCACACTTCTTCTGTTGCTTACAATTCGTTCGAATAATTTGAAATATTCTTAAACATTTCTTTAAACTATAATTTTCTTAAATAGTTGTTGCTTTTCTTCAAACATTCAATCGGAAGCACTTCGTTAACGTCGTTCAATGGTTTTGTGTTTATAACTAAAAATGTTGTTGTTGTTTTTTGTTGTTTTTTGTTGTTTTCTTAATTCATTAATAACTATTTTGGCACTGTTCAACTTTATGCAAATTCACGCACAAATACACCCACACACGTACACACGAGACAAGACGAGACGAGCCGAGCCGAGCTGAGCTGAGGGGTACACGTCCAATTTGTTTCTTTTGCACTTTTATTGTCGTTTGGTGTTTGGCGGCTATGTTGTGCTGTGGCGTCTTGGCGTTATGGCGTTATGTGTTAACCAAAAAACCCAAAAACAGCGTTAAAGTGTTAACCACCAACCAACAAACACGTCTTACTTGCTTCGTTGTTCTCAATCAACTGTGGTGCCGTTGTTGTCGGCGAGCGGTGTAGGTTCTGCCACCTCCTTCTAGCGGCGATGATGATGACGACGGCTGACGATAGCGACGACGTTGATACTCACCCATACGAATGAGTTGCAATGCAATAGGAGCGTTGCTGTCAGTTGTCACTCACACCACTGCAATGGGGGCGAGCAGCGTCAGAACGCTCGGAAACACCAGCCTACGTACACAAGGTATGTATTATACATACTATGTACGTACGTATCTGTGTAGATAGAGTCAGTCATCAAACGCAGCTAGCAACCAGGCAGTCAGACAGCCTGCTAGCGTATCGGCGTAAGCAAGCTAGCAAGCAACAAAAACATTGAGAGTAGCAACAATAAGCAGCGAGCGTATGAGTGGCCAGCGAGTCAGCCAGTGCAACAGTGAAACAGTGAAATAAATGGCTAGAAGTGGAGACACCAGCCGTCGCAGCAGCAACAACAGCACTAACACAGAGAAGAGGCATACAACCGCACAGCCGCACGGCTACAGAACGACAACGCAATCATAATGCAGCTGAGAGCTGAACAACAAACAGCAGGCAGTCGTCGTCGTTGTCGTCGACAAACGTAACAACAACAAGCAAGCAGATTTGAGTTGTAGAAAAAATAAATGGAAAATAAAAAAATTAAAATTGAAAACGTAAAAGAAAATATGAGAAAAAAGGCAAAAGCAGCAAGCAAAAAGAGGCAGTGCAGAACTGCAGTTGCATGCAACGGCTGAAGTGAAGTGGCAGCAGCAGAGCCAGTCAGCCAGGAACGACGCAGCGAGCAGCGAACGCGACAATTAGAAACCAGAACAGCAGCTCACAGTATCCATAAACACATAAGATTATAAAAAAAGTATCTAACACATACATATGTATATACATACGTAGATGCGAATGCATAAATATTGATGTATATATGAGTATTATATGTATGTATTGAAAATATACACACACCTACGAACAGGTAGGCCGTTAATGCATAATACAGTCAGTCAGTGTATGCACGCACATGTGTTTGTTTATATATGTGACTGGATGAGAATGACAGCCCATGCAGCAGAGCATACATATAGAATACAATAAAAACATATAACCAACATTTAAATATACATGCATGTATGTGTACGCACTTGTAGATTTGATTTGATTCTTTTTCTTCTGTTTTTTTTTTTATTTTTGCTAAGCCGTCAGCCGAAAAAGCGGAGCTACTCAGGAGTTATCAGGGAGCAAACCTGTAGCTAATCCAAGAAGTCAGAAGAGGATGCAACCAACATACGTATGAGTACATACATATGTACGTATATATATAATAAATTAAATGTGCTCTTGTCTTTATGAGAGCCTTTCGTTTTCCACTCTCACGATCTCTTGGGATCAACACTCCATATACTGAATTAGAATTAAGAGTTAATCCAGTAAGAATTAAATAAAGTTTGCAGTAAATTATATGAAAGAGAGTCTTTTAATATTATCTTAAAGGTGATTTAATCTTGATATTTACTCTTTTATTAAAATGAGAAGAAATAGGAAATGTGACACTGAAATTAAGTGATCGGTTTTGATGTCAATCTCTGAGAATAAGGAGGGAATATTTGAAAATCGGTAATTATAAAATGAGATTTCACTATTTAGGCAATAAAGAAAGGGGGGAAAAATATTTTAGATATGTGCAAAAAGACATCTGCAGAAGTTTGTCGCAACTATTTGCAGAAGGAATACTACTCCACTCTTGTTTTGAATAATGTCAAAACTAAAGTGAAATCTTACTGGGAAATGAGGGACTAATCGTTATTAAGGTTTTGAGTTCAAATATTATATGAACAGTGTGTGACTCCAAAACTGAACAATAAAGTGCCTGATAAAAGGCTGTCTCTCAGATTTTAATAACATTGAATTTAAGTCTATTGGAAAATTTAAAAAAAATAGACTATGGAATAGTTTTGAAGGATAATTAGTTTCGTTCCCCAAAGAGCTCCATCTAGCGATGTAAAAAAACTAACTAAACTGTTGAAATTTTTTTTACTAATTAAAAATAATTCTTTAAGTTAAAGAAAACCCAAACTTACAAAGGAAATGAGGTCTACCTCATGAAATTATAGAAGTAAGAATATTAAAAATATCGCAATGAATTAAGGATATACAAACCAAAAAGAAGAAATCTAAAAAGAGAAAATATACATTTCACATACATTTCAGAAAAGAGAAACTTTTCTTGGAGATATTCTAATATAGTTGCTACGGAACGTATGTACGTATAATGCCGTAAATATACAACTCTTGCATACAAATCTTGCTGGCGAATGATCAAGCAAAACAAAACGGAAAAGTGAGCACTACGCTGCAATGTTTTCATTTCTATGCTTTGGATTAATTTTTTTATTTAATTTGTTTTATTTTTTGCTTTGTATTATTGTTTGTTGTTTCAATTAACAACCGGCTATACTGCGAGCAGGGGCACAACAGCGTTGTATATAAATAAAATTAACTAATAAATAAATCAAAATGAAAAATTAAGTAACGTAAAATAAAATCAAGTGAAATAAAATAAAATAAAATAAAATAAAATAAAATAAAATAAAATAAAATAAAATAAAATAAATTAAATTAAATTAAATTAAATTAAGTTAAATTGAATTAAATTAAAATAAAATAAAATATAATGGAGTGTAAT